TTTTTAATTCTAAAAGTTTGAATTATGATTTATTTTTAATTTTTTCATTAAGTTTTTATTTTGTAACATGTTATCTTGACATATATCTCTAAACAAATGGATTAAAAAGGATTTTTAAAAAAAATAAAGGATCAAAAAATGATTTTTTTGTCAAAATAGAAAGACTAAATTAATTTTTTTTTAAATTTTTTACTTTAAAATTTTATCATTTAACATGTTATGTGTACAAAATTTAATGAAATGACTAATAAGATATTGGATTTCAAAGTTTAAAAACCCAAAAAAAAAAAACTTTTTCTACGTAAAAGGATTAAAATTTTTTTTTATCAAAATAAAAAGATAAAAAGTGAGGATTTAACCTAATAAATAAAAAAAAAAAAATAACAGACGAATTGCAAACAAAGAATTGTACGTACTAATTTGTCCCTGTCATATGATCAGAATAAAAAAATCTCTTTTACTTTTATGAACAGTTTCTCTGTCACCCACCCGTGACCCCCCACCAAAACCATCAGTGTCCCAACAAGAAGTGCCAGAAGCCCGAATTTTCGGCGAATATGTTATGACCACTTACGCCTTTACTTCAGGTCCCTCGTCAATGGCAACAAAAACAGTGATTAGTTTAGGTTTAAGTACCATTTTGGTCCCTCAACTTTTGACTTTGGCACCAAAATTGTCCCTCACCTTTAAAAAAGTACCAAAATTGTCCTCAGATTTTCATTTTTGGTACAGAATGGTCCTTCCGTCAGTTAAATGACAGGTGACACGTTAAAATGCCAGCAAATCAATTCTTTTTTTTTTCTTAATCAATGACATGGAAAAAAAACATATTTTTTTATGAGTTGGTATTTTTAATTAATTTAAAAATAATTATATCTTTTTCTTTTATCCACGTCAAAAAATAAAACATCTCTTCTTTCTCTTCCTCTTTTACTCTCTCTTCTCCCTTCGTCTTTCTCTCTCAAACCCAAACCCAGATCTGGGTTTTTCTCAATCTGGTAAAAATTCATACATGAAAATGAAAAATACAAGTAATAAACACCATACACCATATATTTTTTTCACAAACACCACACACAAATTCATGATGAAGCAAGCTTCGCATTCGCTCGGTTTGTGCTAGACCCCTGCACGTGGCTCCGGACGCCTCAAAGTCGGTACTTGTTCCTCTTGCTCTACTCTCCTATCCTCCTCCCTTTCCTCTGCGCAACTTTTCCTCTACTCTGTGCCACGGAGTTCTGCTTCTGGGTTTGTCACGAGAGGACGAGAAGGA